TCCCCTGTTAAGCAAAACCCCATGTGCTTATGGTCACTTGTGACATGACAGAACTATGGATACTTCCATCAAAAACTCTGCATTTTCTTGTGAAAGCCACCATGGAAAGTACTTCACACTGTCCATCTATTTCACAAGTGGAACCTATCAGCCATTTTTATAAGTTACTACTAACATGCTCCAATTTATAGTTACTATAAAATTGTCCAAAAGTCTGAATGACAGAGAAGGACTCTGAGATGCCAAGAGCAACGGAAACACTTCAGAAAATCTTCTCCATCTGTTGGATTCACTTGGCCATTGACATTTCCACCAACTTCTGGAACAACCACCTGTTTCCCCTCCATACCCACCTTCACATCTCTCAAAATAAACCCAAAGGCATTTCAGAAATACTTCCTAGGTTAAAACCTAGGGGGAGAACAAGTTCATTTGTAGTCATCTCCCTTCTATCCAAGTGACTCTACATGTGAGGTAGAGGAATCCAAAGGTCCCCTAAAAGTAAAATCAGTGTTTTCATGCATGCAGCACCAATCTGGGAACTCCAAACATGAAAGCTGCCATGCAGAATTCTCTTTATCCATCATGTGTAGTTTATTTTAAAGAGAACAGTTATTAAGACATTTTTATACTAGTAAGGTCCAATTAAGTACCTGTACTCAATATTCATGACTATTTGGTCAGACTGCATTAAAATTCCCAGGTGAAAGAGATAAGAACTGTCAAATGTCTCAGAGAAGGAAACTGAGAAGCATGATCTAACAGACAGCAAAGAAATCAAGAGTTTGATATTCAGGAAAGGAATAACTTCATACAAGTAAAAACTTCCACGGTTTATACAGACAAGACAATCTTGATTAAAACACAGAATTTGATTATTTAAGTTTTCTCTCTACTTTATAATGTAATCACTAGAATAACAATGTTATATAAATTTAATTTCAGCAAAATAAAATTACTAAGATTGTCTATGCAACCCATGTAAGCATATATAATTTTATAAAAAAGGACCAAAAGACTGTGTTCACTGTATTCCAACAATTATTGAAAAATATCACCATTCTATTCAATTTGTTTAATGGGAATTATTGTAAAGTGTTTCATTCTTTACAATAATAAGCAAGCCTCTTCTTGCTTATATGAGAACATAATAAAGACTGACATGTACTGCTTCTAGGTCTCACCTTGTAACTAGGAGCTTAATAAAACCCCTTTGGTGAACCAGATCCAGGGAAAGATGTAAGTTTCAAGTTAGATATATAAACATCCTAACAGTTCTGTGTGCTTGTATTTACAGTTCTCAGGAAATGAAACACTTGAGGCACAAAATGTACATAAACACTCAAGCATCACGTGACAAATTGTAGCTAATTTTAATCACGTAAACAACAAGGGTCCATCCAATATCACACTGAAGTAATTTCCCATTTAATTTCAGTCTTACTGAAACTCTAAAGGTAATTACAATTTAAACCAGGACTCTCTAATTCTATTGATGAAGAAAATGCACCAAATAATAAGACATGTAGCTCCATGGCACACTCCATCTTTTAACCTTTCTTCACTAAGAAAAAAACAACCAAGACAACATCTGTAATTCTACCTATGGAAAAGGGTTTTCAAACCCACCCAAAATGGCACATACTCAAAAATGACACATGCAAACACAATTCCTGAGTTTCAATATGCACCCATCTCAGAACAGGACTAAGAAATGTGACAGATGCCACTGCTGTCCCTAATACTGCACCCAGCCAAGGAGCATGGAAAGCTCCCAGAGGATGTCTGAGGAAGCTGGGAGGCAGGGACAGAACTCACTCCCCAAAGAACTTCCAGCTGTGACATGTGAGCCTCACTATGCATCTGAAAACGAGTGTATTTTTGGGAATGACAAGAGCTCTGCAAAAATACAAAGTAGCTTCAATTTACACACCTTACAGAGACACAAGCTAACTCCAGGCTTCCTCCAGTGTCTCAAAGACCCTTTAAAATACTGTCAACACCCATCAAAAAATGTCTATTCCTTCTGCATCTGTTCAGACCTTCAAGATAGATTACTTTTTTTTTTTGCAATTACAGCCACCTGAAGACCAACACTACCTTCCTGATGAAAATTTACCCTAAATTTCATAGAACACATAATATCTCTATAGATCCACAGGAACATGGGCTTAAGTCAACCAAGACAGTTTGTCATGCTACTTCGGGCACCAAGACCTATTCTGGGTCATCAGATGTGTACAGTTGCCAGTAGCATCTTCTGCAGAAATTCCACAGGGAGACAGAAGTGATACCATCTATACACCTTTCCCAGCCCATGTATTTCTCCTATTCTCCAACTGCATTGCCTGTGTCAGCTGCAAACAGACCTCCACAAAGAATCCAGGAGATACTCTCAGAAGGCCAGGAGGGAAAAGATCAAAAAGGCCAAGAAACTTTTTGAGGTTAGAAAACTAAACACTGCTGTCCTCTCTGCTCAGAGGACCCCACACTTCTCTGAGAAGCTGTGATGGAACTGAATCACAGAGCCCAAGAAATGCTTCTTGTAAGTACAGCTATTAACATGCCTATTCCTGAATATTTAATCCTGCAATTTCTAATTAGTTAAAAGGTTAAAAAAAAAGTGACCAAACCCTTACAAGCACTACTGAAATAGGAAGCAGGTGCACAAAAATGGATACAGATTTATGTTTTGAACCATGTGCTGCAATGAACAAGTAAAACCCAAAAAGACAAATACTTTTGGACTTGTTGAGAAGCATCATAACACAAAATCAGACTTAAGTGACAGCAGGCAGCTACTTACCAGTTAGATTTACCTCTGACTGTGAAGTATAGGACTATCTAACAGCTAAATCTCCTCTCAGATTCTGACATGCCTCATCTACAGTGTCATATTTCTGATACATGCCAGGTTTTACATGTTGACACTTCACAAATACATTTTTTCCTGACAGCTCCCTTACTAGCCAACTCCAGTGACAGATGACTGAAGCCACAGAGTAAATGGTGTAGCTTCCCTATATTCATGGTACAGAGAGTAAATCTGGTGTAACAACATGTGAAATACTGCCCTTGCAAGGTCTGACTCAACCAACTTCACAGCTTCTAAGTAGCAGAGTCAAGCTCCTTCTGGTACACCAAAGAGCAGGTAACTCAACACAATGTGCCTCCAGTAGACGTGAGCCCCACGGGAGAGCTGGGCTCAGTAGCTCTCCTCTTTGCTCCTGAGAAACAAAGTGGCAGGAGTCCACCATCACTTCCAAAGTGAACAGCACCACATTCTCTGTGGGAATCACCCTCACTCAGAAAACAGCATAAAAGAAACAGAAGAAAACAATCAGGGCCCTCACAAAATCTGCGGCTGTGCAAAGAACTTGCTCTATAGCCCGTATGTACTCCTTATGCACACAGCCAATGCTTTATTCAGGTTACCAAACGAAATTCTCGTGACAAGGAAAGCAATAAAGCAAGACCAAAGGGGTAGGTCATATCTGTACCTTCAACGAACATGGAGATTAAAAAAAAGGTAGGAAAAACACCCAAGCCATCAGGTAAGGAAATGAGAAAACACCTGTATACGTATCCTCACTAAAAGAAGCTACATGTGAAACCAAGAAATCCAGCAACTACATAGGTAATCACATTACAAAACAACAAAACACTAATGTTCCTTCTTCAGTGAGTTACTGCAAAACTCTTTCAGTATTATTTTACATTGCTCAGGACCAACTTCATAGAAAATGTAGAAATAAAAATACAGACTCAATTCTATAAGCATAGGTTCACATTTAGCTTTATTTCCTTCATACCATGAGCAGAGTCAGTCTTCACTGTACAAACCAAAGATAATTAACAACACTATTATACATCAATCTAGACATATATTGCTGACTTAAGTCTAAATGGCTTGAAAGAAGACTGGCTGTACAGCCACCATGGACTCATTTGGAAAATGTATTTTCAGCTCAGTACATTTTATTCCCAAAATGCCTCTTCAGATTTAGGAACTGCAATTACAATTTCAAGACACAGTCCTTCTCAAACACAACTTTCCTCCCCAGCTTTCACTTTCCCCTCTTCCCTTCCCTTCCCACAATCAAGCTATTAACTCTTAAATAAATGGAATAATCACTTAACATCAGGAGCCACAAGGGTCTGTTGGCTCCTATCTCCTGTTTAAAGGTCTGTTTAAACGGGAATTAAAATAAATCGCTTCTGTGGATTTAGGCCCAAAAGCTCAAATCGGCAAACAGAGGTACTTGACCTCTCTGGAGCAGTCCCAGGAGCAACCACAGACAAACCACACAGGCCCTGGAGAAGTTCTCCAGAGACAAACACCATTTTCAGAAGTTTGCTACCTGAATGCAAATTAGGGAACTGTCCCCTGTGCTCGCCTTCCCAAACCCCGAAGTGCAACTTCTGGTTTGCGTTCCCTGTCTTTGCGTCTTCCTAGCGCAGTGAAAAGCAAACCACAGACTTCGTGTCCAGCCTGCTTTTAAAAACGAAGTACTTCTTTAAGACGCAATGGCCGCCCTGAGCAGTGACATTATTTGACCCGAACATCTACGTGTGTTTGTTTCAAAGCTGGTCACCAGAAATCACGACCATCTCCAGGTCAAGCAGCCGCAGGCACGGCAATGCCAGGCTGGCACACATCTCCAGACCGACACCTCAGCTGCGACGACAGATGCCCTAATTCCGCTTAGCTCTAGGAACAGCTTAAGTATCTTCCTTGTGAATGGACTTTGATGTGCTTTCGTTTGGACAGCGTGCTGGAAGCAGCACTCGTGATGCCTTTTGAGTATTAATCATCCCTTTTTAAGGCCGAGGCCACCGGCCCCGAGCGCCCCCGCTGTGGCGGCGCCCCCTCCCCCGGCCCCAGGACCGCGGTGTCGGGGGGACACGGACACGGCGTCCCCGCCTGGCCCGGGGGAAGCCGCAAGGAGCGGGGCGGGGAGTCCCGACCCCCCGGCCCCGCCGCCCCCGGTCCCGCTCACCCTTCTTGTCCATGAGCCACATGAAGAAGAAGCAGGGCGCGAAGCCGATGGGCCCCCAGAAGACGAGTAGGGCGATGTCCCAGCCGCTGAAGCCGAAGGCCAGGCGGGCCGAGTTCTGGATGGGGCCCCAGGTGTTCCACACCAGGCCCTGCGCGAAGCCCAGCAGCGAGAACAGCAGCAGCACCAGCCACCGCCGCCCGTACACGCGGCCCGACAGCGGCGGCAGCCGCCCCGCCGGGCCCCCCGCCGGCCCCGCGCCTGCGGCCGCGCCTGCGGCGGCGGCGGCGGGCAGGAGGGGCCGCCGCTCCTCCGCGGTGCTCCAGCCCAAGCCCATCTGCGGGGCGCTGCCGGGGGCCGCGGGGGAGCAGGGGACGGGGCCGGGCACACGGACACCCACCACCTCAGCCCCCGAGCGCGGCAAGCGCTGCCCCGGCCCGCACAGCGCATGCGCGGTCGGGGAGGGCCGGGCGGCCGCCTCCTTCCTCCGCCGGCGAGGGGAGGAGGGAAGCGGCGGCGGCGAGAGTCGGGTCCGCCGCCCGCGGGGAGAGAGCCGCGCCGGCGGGCAGCGGGGGCGTGCGGGCGGGGAGGCCACTGGGCCGTCACCCCGCGGGAGAGGGGTCCGGGGCAGGAGGGGGCGACTCCCGAGAGCCCCTCTCGGGTGCCAACCGGCGGGGCCGCGCGGAGCTCCGGCGTCACGCCGCCGCCCGGCTCCGCCCCCGCCGCTGCCGGGCCGCGCTGCCCCTTCCGCCGCCCAAGGCCGTGCCGAGCGGAGCCCCCGCAGTAAGAGCTGCAGGAGCATGGCCGGGGCGGAGAGCGGCCGTCCCCCTGCGCCGGGTAGGTGCCCCCCGGGCCCCCAGCGCGGGGAGGCTCCGGGTCCGGCCCAGCGGGCACGGGGAGCAGGAGGCGGCGGCGGCTGTGGCTGTAGCGGGGCCCGCTGAGCCTCCCCTGCCGCTCCTCCTCCCCCACGTCCCGCTCAGCTGAACCTGCGTGGGTACCTGCGCGCAGGGAAATACCGCAGCGGGGAGTCTGTGCTTTTAAAGGGAGAAGGAGAGCGTGTTGAGTTGAGGTGGTTACAAATCAGCCATGGGCCGAACTGGGGGGAATAAACAGTAGGGCTCAGGTAAAACCTGCACTGAAATCCATTGTGAAATAATTCAGGTGAATATACCATCATGTGGGGGACACTGTGTTTATTAGAAACTATTATAATTTAAAAAGAGTGAAGCATATATTATTTCAGTTAGGTTGTGTGAGAATTTATCTGTATATCAACCATCTGCATTTGTCATAAAATTAATGGCTCGTATGCTGCACAGTGCTTCATCTTCCCTTAAAAAAAATTGGGTATTTCAGTGTGGCTTGCTTAGGCATTCTGTCACAAAGTCTGGAAGTTGGCTCGATAAATGCCTGTGTGTGTAACTGGGGAGAGCTGAACAGTGGGGTCCCCACGGGCTGGTTTTAGATCCAGTGTCAGTAGTCTTGATGTGCTGGGCAGCACAAAGCTGAATTCCACGTGGTGCTCGTCCGCAGTTTTGCGGCCAAACCCACAGACTCACGTGAAATTCTTCATGAAACATACGACATTGCATTTTGTTTAGTTCACACAGCTCTGTTTGCTAGACTGAAGGTGCAAAAAGGAAGTATATGCTGACTGAAATCAGCAGAACTATGATGAGAAAGCAAATTATATTTTGTTTAGAAAAGTTCAGGAAATTCCCCAGGAAAAATAAGATTCATACACATTTAAATAATGAGGGGACATGCAGAAAATGAACTAAAATTTTGGTTTGCTGTTTACAGCTGTAGTGACAAAAGTACAGTAAAAATACAGGATGAGATTCAGATTTCATCATGACTGATGGATATTCTGGTAGTGCTTTGGGGCTCCAACTGAGATTAATTCCCTGTTTTACTAAGTCTTTTTCATACATTACCACCTCAGCATAGTTTAGCCTATGCCAAAGTGTTCTTTCAATTAAGAAGGGCTATGTTACTACTATAATTTAAGTGATTTGGTGGCATTCAGCCAAAGTGCTGTTATTTGCAGAAGTAAACTAAAGTGAAAAAATATTTCTTTCTTTGAACATTTTTCAATTAACCGCAGTAGTCATGGAGGTTTCATGTTTCTAGTGGCAGGAAACCCATCCAAAAATAAAGCAAATGGGGCTTTGCAGTGTCCTTTTAACTGCAAAAATTGCTTGTGCCTCTCACTATCTGCACAGTCAAAAGAAAACTTGAATATAAGCAGGATAAGTCTTTGATAAATTATCTTATGATGGGTTTAAAGATATTTCGACTCTTGCATGGGTCAGCAAGAAAGAAAAAATTCTGAAAAACAGCAGCAGACTAAAGGGGCTGTCAAAATAGGCTAAAAAAATCTAGGTATATTTATTATTGACTTAATCATGGTTAAAATAATTTATTTTGATTGCTTGATTTGAAATTGCTCCATCTTTTCCTAGCTTCACAACCCATATGCGCATCTTTCAGTCATGGCCTGACCTTTTCTATTCCAGCTATTTAATTAACACAGTGTAATATTCTGTGTGAATTATTCTTGCTTGCAGGATATGGTACCGTTTAAATTTGTTAATGCAAAGGAGCAGTGCATTGTTGATAAACTGTTGGAAACCAAATTAGCTTTATCTTGCAGCTAGCTGATTGCATTATTTCACTCGTGGGTATAATAATTCTCTAAATATGCTAATTTCACTCTTTTCTCCGTGTGGTGACATTTTTACTGTTCTCATTACTGACATTTGTAATATTTGGGGTGGGGAAATTTTTCTTGCTTTAACCTCATTACAATGTAGCTAAAGAAATTTGAATATTATCAGATGAAATGCACATATAGTCAGGCTAGCGGAAAGGTTATTCTGTGTCCTGGCCCATAACTTTCATGTCTGTAGCAGGACTTGCATGGACTTAATGGCATCTAGATCCAAAACTGTGAAGCAGATGCCCATCCAGGTACCAACTGCCCAACCACGATAGCATATCCATTGGTGGGTGCCTCCATTTCTAATCTAAAACCTCTCAAGGTGGCTGCATGTCCATATTCATGCCTGTCTGTCTGTGTCTGGCCTAAAACATTATGGAATTCATCTTAGGAGGAGTTGGTGGCCTGAAGCTCTGATAGACTAGTGGTGACAGACAAAAATTATGTGGCTGAAGCTGTTATTGCTGCCAAATGCTCATCCCATCCCTGAGGCAGGCCTGGCTGATCCACTGCAGAGTTGGCACCTATAGTGTGCCAATTTAAGCTTTAAGCCTTAAGAATATAAACTGAGGCTTTGACAGGTTTGTTATAAACTTGAGGCATTTGGAGAGTCCAGTTCAGCTAAAACATATCTATCATGTCATGGCTGAGCTGGGCAGTCCAGGAGAGTATCCTCCCAATGGAGCAACCAACCTCCAATTCCTAGTGCCTTAGGAAGTCACGTTTGCTCTCTCCAGTTACCGTGCTTTTGACAGATTTATTCTCCATGTGACTTTTCAGAGATACCTGATGAACTTCAGCATCCCCTGGGTTCTCATGCCTCTCTCCCAAAAACTAATATCATGTGTACAATCTTGTCATTTTTGTGTCAACTTATACCTTGCACTGTGACAAGCAACAAGTGACTATATCCTATGAAGTCTAGGAGCATTTTGGCACAAAATGGGCAGAACCTGAAATTAATTCAAAGATTCAAAAGTGGCATCTAGCCAATTCTGAATATTCCTTCCAGCATCTAAAAAAAAGGCCCATTTTCCAGAGATTTCCCTCAATTTCTAGATTTCTGCTGGAGTTGTGACAATGCAGTTTCAGAGCTGCCATAAGCAGCACTAGGGTAGCAGGGAGCTGTAATGAGTGTGTTCTTTACACCCTGTCTTGAACAACACCTCTGAAGGTGAGCCTGTGAGGTGTGAGTAAATCCCATTCTTCCCTCAAGTTTTGACATCCCTTCTAGTTACTCAGGAACAGGTTGTTTAAAATCTGCTCTGTCTTGGGCTTGGTTTGGGCACCTTCCAGTCTGTGTATTCAGTAACTTTCAGCATCTTTTCTTGCCATTCTTTTTTATTGAGAAGTAGGTAGGCTCTGGCTCTAATGTCATACAACAATTTACTTGTACTTCAGGAGAAAGATGGTTTTACAGTGCTTCCTTTTCCTTTTTTGTAGTATCAACAGGAAAAGAAAATATGGACACAACATCAGCTTATGAAAGCTGAACAGTTTTATTATTAAATTCAAACACTAATGTTTTCCAGTGGGGAATTCATTTATACCTTTTGGCTACAGGTTGTGTGTATCCCCATTGCAAAGTCGCCATTGTAGTGGAGATGATTCTAGCTTTGCAGTGAGACAGAGCCCATTCCAGGGTGCTTTAGGGAGATGCACTCCCTTTCTTTGTGGAATCTACCTTTGTGGTTGGCAATGAAAGATATGTCACCAGATTTCCTGTAGACCACACTGCAGGCTCTTTACTGTGGTTCTCAAAAGGAATATGCAAAAGTCACACCTGACTTGGGCTTTGAGCATATTTAAAGCATTTTGTACTCCATTTATGCTTGTTCTGCCATTCATCACCTGCTTAACAATGGACACGTAGGTGATGATTGTACCTTCTTTGAGGGGGCAGTGGAAGCTGCATGATGTCTTTCATCCAAGCTCATTTTGATGACTACTTCCCTCCCTCACTTAGCCTTCAGGCTCCAAGTCTGGGATATTTTAGGGAGGTGTTTTAGGGAGGTTATATTGGAGCTCCAACCTCATCAGACCACCGCCCCCATGTTCTTTCATTTTATTCAGAGCCAACGTGTGCAAGTGACTGCAGACAACATCAATGGAGTGTTTAACCTCCCCAAACTGTGTTAGGGAAATTCAGTTTCAAAGACTAATGGTTTCATCTCTTCCTGAAACCCTGAGAATTATGGAAATGAACTGAGTCGCATGTGAATGTTAGGTTTGAATTGGAAATACAGGGTGAAAATCTCCACCTGTCTCCTTGGGCTAGGACTGCCTCAGTGCAGCTCTTGTTGTCTGTGATGCCAGCAAGAACAGATAGTCATAGTTCTCTGGTACTGGTCTGTCTGTTGTGTCTCTGATGAGTGTGTTTCTCATTTCTGATCAGGCTGCGCCATTGTTCTCCTGTTGTCATTCATGGAATCGGCAAGGGGCAACTTAATTACTGCTCTGCTGTAATTAGTGATGTAGACATTAGAGAGTTTGTTTCTGTTGGTCTGGCCAGTCACGCTTAGCTCATAGGTATGGTATGAGCTCTGCAAATGAGTCTTCTGAAGACCTGATTGTCTGGGTGGGTGTTTGGGATTGAGGACATAAAGCTCATAAAATGTTGTTTGCTTTTTTGAAAATATTACACTGTCATGTAATTCTGTATAGAAAGAAAAGGCTAAATGTATTATTTCTGTATCTTTTCTGAAGAGGGGCATGATTTAAGTTTAAATTATTCTAGGCTTTGTGATCACAGACACAATGAGATTCTTGGGAGTAGCATGAGATTTTGGGTATAAGTATTTTAAAAAAGAGCGATGGTGAGGTAGTTTAGATGTTTGGTATAAAAGTGCAGCTTTAACCTTTTGTAGTTTTATTATTTTGCTAATGTTCAGGGAGTTCTCTTAAATTTCCATGTACCATATGCTTTTGCTGACTGGACATAGAAGACATTATTGCTTCTAATACTAGTATTAAATCAGACATTGATTGGCAGTGATGTTAATGTTTAAAAAGAAAAGAAAATATTGAAAGTCTTCTACTGAAAGGAGTTTTCCAGGTATACTACTAGGTTGAAAAATACTGAGTTTTGGTAAATTTTGCATATTTCAAGAAGCTT